TCGTGACTGAAAGGAATATTGTCAGTCTCGTTGAAGCTTAATATTCGTAATGGATACCTCCTCCTTCAGTCTCGTCTCTCTAAAAAATTAGAAATTTAAAAAACTTTAAAAATGCAGAACTTGAAGATATTAAAAATTTTTGACGTAGGTATGCATATAAAATACCTACATATTTTTTAAATTTATCTCGCGTGCAACATTAAAAATTCGCTTGGATAAATATAACATCGTGTCAGTGTATGACAAAATTGACGCAGCTACAATCCAATGTAACGAAGGAAAACCCGTTTACGACTTTTATGATATAACGTTGCGATTTCGAGAATGTATTTGTACCAAAGTACCCTATTATATCGAATTTAAATTAAAAAATTTCGAAAGACGTTTATCACAACGATTTGGATCGACGAAAGATCCACGAAATATAATTATCTAAAAGATGTATCGTCCGGTTTGTGTATCTTTTATAGAATTATTAATCTTCGAACTATTTCAATATTTTCATTTCTTTTTTAATATTTATCAAGCAAAGGCATCGATATTTGAACGTATCAAATTTTCAATATCTCGCAATTCAACATTATGTATTGTATAATAAATTACAAATAATTATTTTAAGATAACCATGCGGGAAATGATAAATCCTACGTGAAATGTGACTGGTCATTAACTTAAAAGTTAAACCGTCAGTATTATTTTCCAATTAACTTGTATCAGTCGAGCGTTTATCGCTATGTACAATGTCAACGATTCGAAGTTCATGCAGCTTCGATTTCGAGAACGTATGCTACAGTGACCTCTAATTGTACCTACATACCTCCAAATGTGGCGTCTGTTATGTTAAGCCCGATAAACGTGAACGTGTATCTACGTTCTCCGTCAGCAAACATATAACAATATATATATACATAGATCGATAAGCACGATCGCATTTACCTCAATTTTCGTCGGCAATTAGTTCCCGCACAATGACATGTAGAATATATAGAAATACATAGAATATTTAGAATATATAGAATATATATTAGAAATTTTATTATATATATATATATATATATATATATATATATATAAATCAGTATTAAAAATGTATTAAGAAAATCATATACGATATTAATATTTTTCAACTTTTATTGTTAAAATTAATATACAGCTTTGAATTCCTTGTTTACAAGTTAGATTAATTTAAAATAGAAACGAAAAAGTTTATTTAATACTTATAATATGTCTTTTGCAAGTATTTATCATTTTAGAAAAATACGTATTTCCTTCGTCATAATTTGCTAATAAATACTGTTACTAATGAACTGTACCAATATTATCCCACCTCTCTTGGCAACGCTTTTTAAAACTTTACTTGAAGAAGAGTTTTCTGTTCTGATTGTTGCGTCCATGCCAAATGACGACTTTAATACGTTTGAAACATAGTTTATATTGAACATGGTTACTACATCTCTAAGTTTAAATTCTCCTCCCTCCCCTATTACATTAATGTCCAATTCTTAATATCCAAGACAAAATAAAGCCTGTCTTAAAAAAAAAGAAAAAGTATACACAGGATACAAAATCGAATGAAATTTAATTTTGAAAGAAATTCAATGTGAAAGAATCTTTGAATTCTTATCGCATTGATGATACGAATTTAAATGGCCTTACCAGAAATAGCGGAGATTATCGAAATTCCTGAAAAAAAATCAAATTGTACCATAAATTATGTGATCGTGATCGATAATTTCAATTAGCTTTCAATTCGATCGAAGTACTTTTTTTGATTTAATATTAACAAAGATTTTTAACGTATTGTTCGTATAAAACTGATAATCCGATTTACTTGTTTGTAAATATTTGTAAATAAATTGTATTCCATTTTCTATCTGCGAGTATCCTGCTTATAAAATTTCTTAAAAATTGGATATACAAGAAATAAAATTTATAAGACATCTCGTAATCAATAAATTATCTTTTTTTTAAATCGTATATATTTTAAACATATTTTTCCGATTTTATACTCTTACGAAAAAAAAACGCATAAATAAATTTAATTACGTATAAAACAGTATTTAAAATTACTCAGCAATTTAGAGCAATTTCAAGAGAAACGAACGACTAATCACGTTCGTTCGATTTGACACCCACCGTAACGTTCCTATTCGAATTGTGTGACAGTATCATTACGAATCTCGCAATGATCGCGTTGAGGTAGACGTTACGCGTACGCGTAGCGTTACGTTCAGTCGATCCGCTCATTACGTTTCATTTGTCTCGAGCCCATGAGCGCCATTTATGCACGGCAGGCATCATTAACCCTTTTAGTGCCGGATGAGTGAGCTATCGATCGTTCGTACGAATCGTACGGATTCGATATATACTTCTGCTATCGTAACCAACCATTTACACGCTTGCGATACGATCGTATGTCGTAACGTTTCCAATGTCGTAA